ATATATATATATATATATATGTCTTTGTGTGTGTATATATATGTGTGTGTTTATATATGGCGGATGGTCTCTTTTTGCATGTGTAAAGCCAGTTTCTGTGAATTCTACAGAGCTGGCTTGATTGAAACACATGAAGGAGCTGCTATTTATATTACAGATCTTGGTGGCAGGCTGAAGTCTTTCAGATGAAAGATGAAACGTTTCTCCCAAAAATAATCTGTCCAGATGACATGATTTAATCCTTTTTGTGATTCAGTCAAGAATATAAAACAGAAACTGCAGTGAAGCCAGCTGAAGGTGTAGAAGTTTTGAACCTTCTTCATCAGCATGAAGACATGAGTCTGAGCAGCTTCCAGGACGTATCGGTGAGGATGCTCCAGGCCTTTCACCGTCAGACCCATGGTCCTGCCATCAATGTTGATCCAACGGGGGGCGCCGGGGGCCAGGAAGGTCCTGTACACACAGACCATAAAACATGGCTCATAGTCATGTGATGCAACACAATTTACCACTTCGTGTTCAGAAGATTATCTACGTACAGTACAGTACATCTGAAAACAGTCTCTGGCTTATTTTGAAACAGTTAGCAAAAACACAAAGTTTAAAGCAGAGCTTGTTCAATGATAAACTATCAGCTGTTGATGGCTCCAACTTCTGCACATTTTACCACAATATCCTTAAATCACATTAATAATAATATAAATCTTTATTGTCATTCAAAACTGTACTGGGCACCAGGCAAAGAGCACCAGGCTAAACTGAACGAAATTATGTTTCATTTCTCCACAGCAGTGTAGGAGTTCATAATTTACACAAATTTTATAGACCTTGGTGTTTAGGTATATCTCTCTCTGTGTGTGTGTGTATAGAGGTGTGTTGCTGTGTGTGTTTTCTACTGTGGTTACTTCATTAGTGACCTGAGTTTATCAGTCTAACAGCTCGTGGGATGAAACTGTTGTAGAACCTTGTGCTTCAGGTCCTCAGCTGTGGTCCCCCCCAGAGGTCAATGGAGTAAACAGTCCATGTTGTGGTTGTGAACTGTCCCTTTAGATTTTATTGGCTCTGGTTAGACAGAGTGTGAGACCAATGTCCTGGAGGGAGGGGTGTCCTAATGATCTCCTCCGTTCTCACCAGCCTCCTCAGATCCCCTTCAATTAGTTTTTGTGTTTAAGGTCAGAGGGCTGCAGCAGCCATTTTAAATCAAATTGGCTCCAAACATTTATCGGTTGTAGATGTTTATCTAATAATTGTTACCTGAGCATTTCTTTAAATGTTGTCTTAGGTACAAATATTTATAATATATTTAGGTGAATATCTGTAACGTTCACTGACTTATAGCCATCTTTTTGTTTTTCACAGAGAGCTGGCTGTGGCAGCCATCTTGAAACAAAGTGACTCCAAAAAGTCATGGATGGACACACATCTACATTTAGTTGTATGTGCACCCCCCAACCCTACACACACACAAAATTAGTCTTACTTAAAGATGGTTTCAGCCTTGGCTGACATGGATGAGGCGGTGCCCCACTTCAGTTCTTCAGCTGCCTCCCAGAATGCCAAGTTCTCACCTGGTGTGAACACAAACACAGTCAGAACCTCCTGACCTGCTCCTCAGGCATTTTCACCTGACAAGCTTGCCAATATGTCTGAAGGGATGTTTTCAAGCTTGTCAATATGTCTTTCATCTGGCACACCTTTAGGTTTCCTTTGTGCTGCAGTGGGACTCTGAGACGTACAGTCAAACCACTCCATGGCAGGTGTCAGTCCAAACATCACCTTGGTTACAACCAATCTCATTTAAAATGTATGAAAATTGCCATATTTTTGCAAAGTTCCTTCTGAACAGCACAAAGATAAAATAATTTCCGGTCATTTAATGCCACATTTTACGTCTCTCAGATGCACAGTGGATATGTTTGAGTGTTGTGTTCAAGGACCAAACCTCTTCATGACAGCCATTTAAAATGACGTTTTCTTAAATTATGCTTTTTTCATCCTTTTAATTTAAAATCCAATCACCCACTCAGAGGAGACATATAGACCACACTAATTGATCATATTAACTAATCAGGCTAACTAATATATTCTGCAGCAACCATTGTCTCAGCGGTTGCTTCTGTATGAATCCCATCCCATACTTTGGACAGGCGCTGCCATTTTGTGGTTTTCTCTCAGTAAGCCCACACTGTATCACCACTCAAAAGGTCTACATTATCCAGAATTCAACAGTGCTGGAATTAAGGGAAAGATTTGATCTGATCCGAAAAAGTTCGGTCCTTATTCATAGTGACGTCAGCTCTCAGTGGATGCAAAGAGCTGTACGGAACCAACCGGGAACTGGACCAGAACCGGACTTCCAGCCTCATCAGTCAATCTGAGTGCTGCTTGCCGGCCCATGAGAGCTCTCAAGGGGGAGGCGTTGCTTGGAGGTTCAGTATTTTCTCTGGAGTTCACCGGGACTTTTTTCATCCAGATCAGGATTATTGTGTGGTTTTGTGCTGGCTATCTGAAGGTCCGGCTCCCTCTAAAAGTGTCTTGGTGCACAATGGCTGCAGAGAGATGATCAAAAACGGATCAGAACCGGACCAAGGCTGGTTAGTACCCATATAAAATTTTGCAGTACGTCGCTACTGTACTGTACATACATGTATGTTGTTAAAATGACGTAGGTTTAAGAGTTTAGAACATTGTGGGTTTCGACTCTGCAGGGTAAGTCTGCCAAACCTGAACCGAGCCGGACCGGAACCGAGCTGCTGAGTTCAGCAGAGCTGGTATTAAAATTTTCCAGTACTGTACAGTACATATACGTATGTTGTTAAAATGACCTAGGTTTAGGCTTTTTTTAGGTTTAGTTTTTTTTTCTTCCTGACCCTCTCGACGAACATGGACGCTCTCCTGCCTCCCCCTTGCTTTTGCTCTTGTCCTGTGAATCTGTCTCTTTACACATCTTCCGAATCATAAATTATTATGGATCTAGTCAGCTGGTCTCTCAATGCAACTGATAACATTTTCTTAATGAAAATACAGGGTGCTGGAGAACCCTCATGCCCTGAAGGGACACACACAGCTGGCTATATCATGGATTCCTGGGGTGAATGGAAGATGATGTGCCTGTCTGTATTGTCCATTGAGGACATTGAAGATGCATACATAATTGAATTTATGATAACAGGGTTTCTGCTTTTTGGGATCTGCGGGTACCTGGGATATCGACAAATTAGGAAGACGTCGGCAGCAGTTTTTGGCAATGGTGAGGCTGCCTGCCTTATATGAAGGATTGCACTATGCTTCAAGTGCTCAGACTCAGATGCTTTGTGAACTAGAACTCACTGGCATGAAGGAATCAACCTTGGAGAAGGCTACAAGCACGGACCGGTGGAATGACCACAAATCTGGCTGTTTGGATTCACCATTGAGTGTACCAGCAGAAACTATGAAGGCAGACGTGAAATCAGTAGAGTCGGCCTGTCCAAAAACCGTTGGTTACGTACTGTAACCTCAGATTCTATGAGTATAGGCGTAGCCCTTTAAGGCTGTCGCTGGTGGGTTTTATCCTGTCACACAAAGCGTCGCACTGAAAAATTTAGTCCACACCCACCTGTCGCGTGGGCCCCACCCGGTCCGTATAAATTACGTTGAGAGCAGGTAATCGGCTCCCAAATAGCTTTTTCTTCAGCCATTTAGGAGCCAGTGAGGCCCAGAGCTTAAAGGGCTACTCTTATACTCATAGAATCTGGGGTTACAGTACGTAACCAACGTTCTATTTCGTATAGGCTTCGCCCTTTAAGGCTGTCACTGGTGGGTTAAAGGCGAAGCAGGATGTAGTCTCTGCTTCACTGGGTCCATTCGAACACTGTATGCCCGCTTGCACCAAAAAACATTTTATCACTCAGCCCTCCATGTGCGTAAATACGCGCTGCCTAATTACACGCACCATGTACAGACGCGCGCTGCGTAATTTACGCGTTCCGTGTACATGGGCGCCCCGGAGAGAAAAGTTCTCGACGGAAAAAGGGGAGAGGCTGAAAAAACAGTGAACAGATTCATAATAAATTAACTGATTAGAAATCAAATGAACTGATTGGTAACAGTAATCATGAACTGATTAGTGACATTAGAACAAAACCAACAGTCACAAACTTGTGACTGATAACAAATATCTCACACTGTAATTGCATGCAATCCGATGTGAGTTTAAGCAAAGTTCCATGAAAACAATGAGATTCATTCTGTTAAGTCACCGAGGACAGAATGCGTCATGGAGCGAGCCGACGCATCACGCAGATAAAAGCGAATAAATGAAAAGGGTGATGACCACGCGGCCGCAGTGTAGATATCCTACATTGTTATACCATTATGCAAGGCCGTCGAAGATGCGATACCTTTGGTCAAATGCACCCTGAGGTTGTCAGGAGGCTCTAAATCTGATGCTCTGTAAGCTTCAGAAATGGCCTCACACAGCCAGTGTGACAGGCGCTGGGTGGATAACGGGCGACCTACAGAGGCAATTGTAAGAGGGGGACAGTTGAACCCAGAGGCCTCCACCCCTGTTTAATGATGGACGATTTCTTTTCACAAAGATGGCCTCCTTTACTCCTCTCTCAAACCATCGTTCCTCTCTGTCCAGGATGTGAACATCTTCATCCTTGAAAGAGTGACCACTGGCCTGGAGATGAGTGTAGATCACAAGGTCCTGGCCTGATGATGTTGATCTTCTGTGCTGGGCCATCCTTTTGGCCAGTGGCTGTTTAGTTTCCCCGATGTACGTATGTATCACTCAGCCCTCTGTGAATAGTAAATAGCCATCAGTGTGCTAATGATCCATTGTTGGGCTGATGGTCCTTCTTGAGCATGTGATGAGCTGGTTTTGGTTGTCAGCAGCAAACTGGTTGATCCACTCTTAGAAGGTGCTATTTAAGAGACTGAGCTGAAAACAGCACCTCAGACTGAGGAAGTCTCTTGGATGAGAAATGAAACGTTTCTATATTTTTTTGCTTTGTTTTGTTTTTTGTGGTTTTTTTTTGAATGTCCAGAGGACCAGATTGAACTTTTTTGGATTTTTCTACCTGGATTATTGAGCATGCATCAGGGCATTCCAAAACGTTTATATGAGCAGCTGTGTGATGTGGCCACAGCGCCCCCACAGCCCGAGATGGGCACGTTCCTCCCCAACCTGACAGGGACGCGTCTGTGAAAACTGAGACGCGTGACGTAGGTCTGCTGATAGGGACTCCCTCCGACAGAGTGAGGGGATTTCCCCAATGTCTCAGGTCGGTTCCCACGGAGGGGGGCACAGAGATCATCCGCCTCTTCTGCTTTACCGGATCTATGCGTAGATGAGCGAACCATCTCTGGAGGTGTCTCATGTGGAGTAAGCCCAACGGAACCACCGTGTGAGCTGACGAGATTGTTCTTAACAGTTTCATGCTGGAAACGGCTGTCACTACTCTGCTGGGTTTTACGTGGCGGAGCTGGTCTTTTGGAGCTTCGGTTCTCGTCTGTGATAAACGAGCCCTCATAGTGACTGAGTTTAGCTCTACTACCAGATAAACGATTACCCGCTCTCAACGTAATTCATACGGACCGGGTGGGGCCCACACGACAGGTGGGCATGGACTAAATTTTTCAGTGCGACGCTTTGCATGATGGGATAAAACCCACTAGCGACAGCCTTAAAGGGCAAAGCCTATACGAAATAGAACATTGTTGTTTGTCTGAAACTGGATTCCCCACTTGGCCTTGGATACGCCAACTTATCTCAAAATGGTCCTGGAGGATATGTAAATCATGAATCTCTGCTCTGCCCCAACCCCACCCCCCGAGAACATCTGTGGACCCTTAACAGAGCTGTGCCGGCTGATAGACACTGTGCCATCTTGATCAGGACTATGGAACTTTCTGGTTGGATTCACGGACAATCTCACCACCTTTGTCGGCCTCCTCCCCCACCTGAAAAATGTCTTATGTCTATCTATGTTGCTTTGTGCTAAGGTAGTTTTTTTTTGTTACCTTACATTGTGTCTTGTGTGTCAAGGACACAGTGTGAGATATCTCTTTATTTATACCTTCTTTCCTCGTCTTTTTCTTCCCCTTTCTTAGCTAAGTGATAAGGGCAGCACTTTATAATGAAGCTGTAGCCTCCGTGCAATTCCGTCTACCCTTGTTGGACAGCTGCACTGACGTATTTTCGCTGCACTTAACTGTGCAATGACAATAAAGTAGATTCTGATTCTGATTGAGTTTAGAATATTGCAAGAGTGTGGGAAGGGTTTCTAAAACCTTAATATATATATAAATACTAAAATAAATATAGCGTTCCTACTTAGCAATTTTTCCACTTATTGCGGGAAAAGGGGGTGTGTCGGAACAACCCCCGCGATAAACGAGAGATTACTGTAAAGCAAACAGAAGACATAATTCTGACTCTAAGGTCACAGTAATGTCTCATAACCTTTCTGCTGTGATCCAGCTCTGACACCAGGACCAGAATAAAGATCAGAGGATGGCCTTCT